TGTGTGTCTGTGTGTCTGTGTGTGTCTGTGTGTCTGTGTCTGTGTGTGTGTCTGTGTGTCTGTGTCTGTGTGTCTGTGTGTCTGTGTGTCTGTGTGTGGATTTTCCCCCTCCCCAGCAGAGAGGTTGGGCGGCGCACGTTCCTGCCTTCAGCCACGCTGCACCCTCCCTTCGCTCCGAGGCAAGCAGTCTGCCCTTGGCTTCCCTGGGTCCTGGGCTCCTAGCCACCGGGACGGGCCTGTCTGAGGGCCAGACACACTGCAAACAGATGGCCCGGCGAGGCCTTTCCTGCCTCCCTTCCCCACGGCCGGGGCCGTTGCCTGTGGGCAGTTACCTTGGACTGTCCGCACGGCTGGAAGCAGGGGCCGCGGCGGAGGCGGTGGCGGCATGGGCAGCAGCTGCGGCCAGGGGTGGCGAGGCTGCACTGGGAGAGGCAGCAATGGGCGGCTGGGCAGAAGCGGGCAGCGGCGGGGTGGTGGCCTGGCTGGTGGACACTGGAGCATGCTCAATAGGGGTGCTGATGAGGTGGGACCAAGAAAGATAGCAGGTCAAGGGGGGCCCTCCGCATGGCGGTGGCTGCCGCAGAGGCAAGCTGGGGGAAGGCACCCGTACTGGTCAGGATCTTCCAGCAGGCCGTCCCCAGCTTCAGAGAAACAGCCTCCTAGGACCCCAAGAGGGAAGGGCTCAGACCGCAAGGAGATCACAGTAACCACAAAACTATTCTCAAGCCTGGTCAGAACCCCCATCTTTGTACTTCCTAATTTTTCTGAGCATGTATCACAGAAATGCAGTGTAATGCAAAAGTATACTGAATCGTCAGCCCTCATCCTGCTTTCCTTTTTCCTCTCCCTTGTCCATTTAGTCAGACGTACACATTACTTCTGATGCAATGAGAAGAGCAGAGGTCAGATATTTGAGAGTCCAGCTTAGGCTCTACAGTGGTATGAAGTACTCATGGTACTGACAACACATGTGGAAGATGGAGGAAAGCTGCAAGCCAGGCAGATCAAGGTTATCTGGGCCAGAAAGGGGCTACATGACATGGGAGATTTGAGAATAGAGGCAGCTGTGCCCCTTTCTTGGGTAAACCCTAGAGAGGTGACAGGACCCCAGGGTCTCCTTTGCCCATGGTGAAGGGGCAGATAGATCCAAGACAGACCAAAGGCTCCCAGGCTCTCAGGTGCCCTGGCAGCCATAGAGAATTTCCCACATTCCCAGGAGCAACATGGGCATGGCCCCAAGTGCCTGCACATCTGAAAGACCCTGTAACTGGGAACAGGAGAGGTGACTGCTGTGCCAGTGTAGACCAATCTGACCAGACAGGACAGGGATATCCCCACAGATGCCAGCACAGGTGGACCAGATGCCCAGATGCCCCACCCACCTGCCTTGCTGTTCAGTAAGCACTCCTTCCCCAGAACCACTCCAAGAAAAGAGAGGAGCATCAGAGCCTGTGAAACTGGGCCGAGAATACAGATTAAATTGTAGGAAAGCAAAGAAATGCCCATCCTTTGCTCATCTGGGTCACTAGGTTAAGATTTGTACTTGCGACAGCAGCAACAGGTGCTGCAGCTCCTGCAGGTGGGAGTGGCTGTCCTGCGCCGTGGAATCTACTTATCTACCTGGTGCTATTGCCAGGCACATGTCTGTAGCTCCTCACAACCACCCTCTGTTGCGGATGTTAGCAACTCTATTCAGTAGAGGAGGGATGGAGACAGAGAATCCAATTGCTCACACTCCTAGGACGCACGGGCAGTGAGAGCAGGACCTGATGGAGGGGCGTTTGGCTTTTAAGCCTCGCCCAGTACCTCAAGTGGCCCCCATGGAGGAAGAAAGGAACTTCTTAGAGTCAGGCAAGTAGAATCTTTTCCCAACAAAAGGCACTATTCTTATTTAAAAGAACTAGATTAATAATCTTCCCTCTGTGAGTTCTTACCATATGCCAGGCCTTGTGCTAACAGCTAGGTAAGGATTACTCCATTGAGCCTTCCAACTTTGCCGGGCGATTAGTATCAAGATCCTCATTTTACAGGTAGGATCTTCCAGAGAGACTGAGACTCTGCCAAAGCCTCATCCAGCAGGTGCAACAGCACTTCTCAGATTTTCATACGCAGCAGATGAATCGCCTGGGATCTTGTTCAAGTGCAGCTTCTGATTCAATAGGTCTGGGCGGGGCTGAGCATCCACATTTCTAGCAAGCCCCCAGGTGATGCTGATGCTGCTGGTCTGAGGACCACACTTTGAGTAGCAAGATGCCCAGAGGTCTGTCCCAGACAGGACTGCTGGAGGGCCATGAGCTGCTTACCAAAGTGCCACCAAATTGCTCTCCTCCACCCAGCGAGGGGCACAGCAGAAAATGCTGTGGAGTGTGTGAGAGGGCTGAGAAGAGCACTGGAGGTGTGGCGAGGTCGCAAGGTGACTGCTCGATGGGGTGGAGGGACCACCATTCTTCTCTGTGATTGTGTAAGAAGCACTTATGACAGACAAGGGCAGTGGCCATGTCCTGACCAGCTCTTCCTCTACTTAGTAGCTCAAAGAGGAGGCCTTGGACAGCCCAGCTCTCAGGCCTGTGGCAGTGCCCAGCTGTGGCCCTTCCCTGAAGCCACTCACCCACCCTCCATGAATGAGCCTGGCTCTGGCAGCTGCTTCTGTGAAGCCATAGTGCTGAGCTGGCTGCCAGACCCTCCACACAGCATGGGCCAGCATGGCCTGGGAAAGCCCAGGCTGGCATAGGAAGCCCAGCCTCCTTTGTCCGTTTCTCCCTGACCCTGCTACACGCTTTCAGTGGACTTCTGGGAACTGAGACCACGGCTCAGGACTGGAGTGATGCGGATGTCTGAGCTGGGGACAGTACTGTGCAGGACAAATAGAAAGCCGACTTTGTCTCCTTTGCTCCAGTTTCTAGTCAGACCAGCTTACCTGGTACTCCCCCCAGGCATAGCTCCAAATGAACCTTGGATTCTGGGGGTGAAGTGGCCCCAGGAAAATTCATGATCTACCACCGGGTCAGGACAAAAGACACGTTGAGCCTGCTGCTTGGGGCTCTCACCGAGGCCGCCCTGTCAAGGACCACTGTGTGCAGACGCCAAGCAGCCGGGATCTAGGAGGTAGGGGCAGCACCAGAGAACACGCCGAAGGGTCTTGTCTGGGCTAGTTCCTGCCAGAAGCTTCACTGCTGGCCCCAAAACCCCAAGGAAGGTGTCTCAGAGAGCAAGCAGAGAGATTACTTGGCCCTGGCTTCAGTGTAAAGACAGTGCCCATGTCATCCCAGCCGGATTTAGGATTCCATAGCTGCCTCCTGCCTCAATCATAATTCACTTTAAATATCTAAGCAAAAAACAAACCAAACCAACTATATTCAACTGCTCATGGCCCATGGGGTCAAGGGAGAAACAGCCTGGCTACCATGCCTGTTTCAGCCCACCTTGGCCCTCAGTCCAGTTGGCATCAGGGTGGAGCATGCCAGCCCTGTGCCCTGCTCTGTTGTGGTGGCCTTTGGTTGATGCTCTTATTGATGCCAATGATGTTATGTATGGAAAGGACATTATGTGCAGATTGGTGGTAGTGCTAGGTCTTGGGCTTTGTGGTTATTGGGCTCAGGTTGGAACTGTTGGTGATGGTGGAGGTGCGATTGATGGTGCTGGGGGTGGGTGCTCTATCGGGGTGATGGTGCTATTTGTATTAATTAAGAGAATAGAACATGAACACCTCTATTGACTGGATGGCGACAGAACACCGGTCAGGTGGTTGGTCTTTAAATTGTTCATGCTGCCATCCACTAGTGTACTTCACCCTGCAGCCTGAGGACTGTTGCTCAGGGCAGCCCTGACCACATCACTCATAGCAGGGCTGCGGCTCCGCACAACTGCAGGGACCGTGGACACTGTAGTCTATGCAAATGGCACCCTGGAGAAGAGCACACAGCGATGCTCACAGGCTGCCCTGTGCCCTTCACTAGTCCCAGAATACAGTCAAAGTCCCACAGCCTGGAATCCCACCTCCGGGCCCTATGGACCAAACTGTCCTCTGTATTCCCTCCCCTCCAGCCAAATTGGTTAACTCAGGGCCTGGGACACCCTTCTCCTCATCAGCACCACTGCTTCCTCTGCTATGAGTACCTGGCCAGCCTTCCCTAACTGCACCTGCCCAGGTCCTAACTGCTCTTGAGGACCAGACACAGACGCTTCTTCCAGGAAGCCTACTCTGATCCTCTAGCCGGAGGGGCACACCCTGTCTCTGGACCTCAGGTGAGCAGCCTTGCCTCCTGGGCAGCCACGGCCACATTGGCACTTTCTGGTTTCTTTGGCACCCACAGCAGCCAGGCATGGTGCCGTAACTAATGCCCACAGACGTGGCTGCTGAATGAGGACATCTTTCTTGTTTATTCCAGAGAGCTGCTTTCAGGGGCCTGGCGTCATTGGGTGACTTCCAGAGCTTCGAGAGGGCCTCCACAGCCTGGGGATCAGGGACAGGGAATATTTGAGGCCATTAGTTCTGACTGATTGGCTCAGGTCCTTTGTCTGCCTCAGGACCTTCACTGCCTAGGACCTCTCTCTGGCAGCCCCCAGCCCCACGACCTACCCTTGGGCCTTCGAAGTCCTTCCTCAATAAAAGCTCAGCTAAATATGGGTGTGCTCCAGGAAGCCTCGATGCAGGCAGGAGCACATAGCCCATCTCCTCTGTTGATCCCTCAGCAAGCTTGCCCTGCCTGGCCCTGGGGTCAGACTGCTAGAAACAGGAAGGACTAGGAGGCCCAATAGAACAGGCTGGCAGGATAGAGCAGTCTCCCTGGGCAGCCCTTCCAGACAGGATTGTCCAGATCCCTGGAGGCAGAAAGAAAACCTGTGCCCAGGCAGCAGGAGTGGAGCAAGGCTCTGGCCCAGCCTAGTCACAGGGGCACAGGGGAGTCCTGAGGGCTGGGCCTCAGCATCAATTTTATTTACTAAGTGCCCTCGGTGTCATGTTCTCAACCAATGGTTTCTGCTTCAGGAGCCAGGCTGATGGATAGACAGGAGGGTGGGGGGGAAAAGAGCCTGCCAGCCTGGCTTTTCCTAAATGCTCAGGACTAGGACACGGCCACAGGTGGGTGGGTGGGGGCCAGAAGCGAGACCCAGCTGAGGTCCTCCCCACCTTCTTGACCCCTGAGCAAGACTCGGCCAGGCATATCTTCCACCTCTTCTCTCCTGAGCCATGGCCCTGGCCCACCGAGGACTCTCAGCAGCTCCCCTGTGACTGCTCCTGAGGGCAGGCCCGCCTTCCTGAGCCCCTTCTCCGCCACCTGGAGCAGGGCTGAGCAGGAGCAGCACCCTCCTGGGAGCAGGGCTCTCAGCCTGCTTTCTGATGGGGAGGGATGGATGGCTCAACCTGCTGGTTGCAGCTGGGTGTGGCAGGAGAGGCAGGGAGTGTTCTTGCCCGATAGGCACTGCCCTGTGGGAGACTAAGGCTGCCCACCTGGCTCAGCACAGATTCCCACCCACCTACCATTCTCCAGCCTGACCTTGCAGCCCAGACAGGGCC